GAGGTCCTCTCCCCCTTGGACTCCCAGGTCTATGTGTCTGTGTTCTCCTCATTCCAATTACAGCTCCCTAATGGCACTACACTGCTGTACTTCAGTCTTGTCCTGTTTTAGGTTTGGGGTGAGTGAGAGACAGAACAAAGGCAAAGAAAACCTTTACTGCTGGGCTGGGAGGGCTGCTAAAGAGACACAAGGACCCTCTGAGGGAGGGAGCTGGGAGCAAGGAATATATTGGGCTACGTTGGGGGTAGAGTTGAAGGGGTGGTTTAGGTGACACTGCAGGCACCAACTGGAAAGGGTGGACAGGCTCACACACACACAAAAAAAAAACATGAGTAGTCAGGTGGAGAGAAGGTGGAAGGTAGTCTGGGTGGGACATGTTGTCTTTTTGGGCCCCAAGCCATACTGGGTCGCTGCCATGATGGCTTGGGAGAATTTTGTGTGGGCAGAAACCCATCATCCTCGATATCAGGCAGGTTAATATTCAATCAAAGTTCTCAAAGGAACTCTATGTAGATCTCTGAAATTTCTCTATGTACTTCCTACTTCTGTCTGGGAGTGTGATCCAAAATCCTATTCACTCCAATAACCCCAAACTCCAGTATTCTTCCTTAGCCCAGCAAGATCACCGTGTGCTGTTCTGGTTCTATCCTCCTGAGCCTGTGCAGAGTACTGGGGCAATCTGGAGCCCTTGTGATGTGATTCCTTTTTCTCAAGGACCACAATTCTGTGCTGAGTATCTTCCAACATCTGAAGCAATTGCTTCAAATATCTTGTCCAGTTTTTCAAAAGTTTATGGCTGGGTGAATTCTTTTTTTAAATTTATTTTGAAAAAAAAAGAAGGAAAATATATTAACAAACAGATGGCTGGATGAATTCTTCATAATCATTTACTTCACTGTGGCTGGGAGAAAAAACTTGCATCCTATCTTCATAAATCTGGGGGAAAAAAACTAGTATTGAGCTCATGAATTTTATTCATTTTTCACATTTGGTTTCATCTCTCAGACCAGAATTCCAGTTTTGTTCCTTTATTCCTACTAGAATATGTGCAACTATAAAGCAAAAGACAACATATCCTGCTAAAGTAGTATACTCCTGTGAGATGAAATTGTACATTAGAATGCATTGTATAGAGGCGACAATAAATATTTGGAGCTTCAGTTTATTTAGAGCAAGATTTTTTTTTTTTACTATGAATAGATAGTCCATGGGCATGATTTACAGATGTGCTATGAAGGTGTTTCAGGTGGACATACAACACTTATGGTGTCTTAAGGGGTTTCATTTATGCTTGAACAGGGAATAAGTATAGGTTCTCACCATGTTTGAAATACTGTACCTAACATGGTACCATGAAAAACAAATGTTCCCAATCATATTATTTCTATAAATCTGTTTCTGTGTTTTCACATGAGGATTATTTTATGTTATGTTTATCTTCACTATGTTCTTATGGGAACTTTGAAAAGCTAACTGCCTGTGTATTCATCTAAAACACTCCCCAAATTATTATTCCTAATAGAAGTAAATATGAAAGCATCGAGATAGCATATGGTGTTTTCAGGTCAGCTGAATCTAGAAGTCATTCTCCAGGATAAATGTGTGTTCAGCTTGTGGAAAGAATCACAAATGTCTTCTCAAAATAAAAGAACTCCTCTGGTTATAACATGAGAGGAGAACAATGCAGGCCAGTCTTTCCACTTATGTGCTAAACACCTCCTTTTGTGAAAGTCTTCAATTTCAACTGGAAAATAAGGGCCTCAGGTAATAAACACTCTGGACATTTTGACCTAACCAGGGGCCTTTTAAGTGGCTCACCTAAGGATCCAGCCTTGCAGGTATTATGTCTGTAACTGCATCTTTTTATATCTTCACGAATGTCACTAAGAAAAAAAAATACACATATTTAAAATAAGACCACCTAATAAAATGTTACTAAAAATTATGTAGTTTATACAATCAGATAATCATATCCTTGCTATGAATCATTCTATTGCTCCCAACTAACACATACAGATTTGTTTTTCTCAACTGACAGTAAATTTGTTTTTCCCAACGTGTTGTGATTACCTGAGTCCCATAAGCCCCATTGTGTTGTACTTGTTATAAAGGAAGTATTTCAGCAAAACACATAATATTTTGATTTTCCTAATATTTCAATATGCAGTTTATCTCCAGATTCAGTCATAGAGATAGGAAAAAATTTAAATTCTGACTCTGCAATTTCCAACTGAATGACCTTGACCCAGCTGTGTAACCCTGCCATGCCTCACTTTGTATGATAAATGATTCTTAGGATAGTGCTTGCTTCACAAAACAGTTGCGAGAATTAAAGAAGTTACCACAGGACAGAATAGTGCCTGGCACAACGTTGTAAGCACCAAACGAATCTTATCAATTATCATTATTATCACTATTATGTATGCGTTTTTTGTTTGTTTTTGGTACCGGGAATGGAACTCAGGACTTGTGCTTGCCAGGCAGGCACTGTGCTGCTGAGCTATATCCCCGGCCCTATCATTATTACTTATAAAACACTTTAAAATTAGTTTGCTCACTCATTTCCTACAACAGACCTTCCCAGTGAATATCGTGATTCCCACTTTATAGAAAAGGCAAATAAACTTTAGGTTCTTCCTCTAGAGACTGTATATTTTTGACTGCATTTTCCTAGAAAACTTGAAAACTTTCACACCTTTTTAATGTTGATGAGACTTTGCTAATCTCACCGTGATCAGCTTTCTACACTACATAATTTCATAGGAATACTTTTAGTGTCATCCAAAAATTTCCTTGATAAGAGAGTTTAAGGAGATGACAGTACATTTCTATTAGCTTTCTACTCCCAAATTTGGATAATTTTCTTTTCAAATCGTTTGCAACTCCACCTCCTCCTGAAAGACCAAGCCCTCTCTATGACTATTTTGTGTTACCCATGTAATAGACTCTTCCAGCCTTTTTTATTCCCATAGCAAGGCTCCACTAGTCTAACGATGTTTCAGAAACAGAGTAATAACCTAAATATCAGTAATTATAGTTAACTTATCAACCCATAGAAAAATAACCACAGCATATAAAGTTCTTCTGGAATCCTTTTAAGTACCGATTTAGCCTTCGTCTGCGATTTAGGTTACTTTCCACTTCTTTAAAGAGCTAAACACAGCCTAGTAAAGAAAGGTCTTTGAAGTGCTAGCTGGTTGACCATTTCCTGTGCACAGTATCCAATCCAGTCAAAACCGTCTTGGAAATGCCTCCAGCTTCATCAGCAAGTGCTGGGGGATGACGTCACTGTGGGATTTCAACCGAACTTTGTGTTCTGATAAACAATGCGGTGTTGGAGTTGCCACTGGTGAATTCCTTTTCTCCCAGGAGGTGCCAGGAAAGTGCCTTATCCGTGTTGTTGAAGCTTTGTTTGAAGGATAACAGTGGGTAAAACAGAAAGAGTTGGGGAGTGGCCAGGTGCCCAGGGTACCTATCAAAGTTAGTTGAGAGTGGAAGACACTATTTTGGTTAAGTTCTACTCCTCTGAGTAGAAAATCAGGAAATAACTGGTGTTTCTTGGAAAATAAGCTGTTTCTGTCTTATTGCCTCTTGTCTGTTGTTTCAATGTTCCCCTCACACTGGCAGATTGAAGATGGCCTGGATTATCTTGACTTGAATATTTTTTCTTAGATGAATGAGTGAGTATTCCAGAAGCAATAATGGTGGTTAAAAACCCTGCCAGCAACAACAATAGCAATGACAAAACCCAACAGGCAGTTTTGCAAGCTTTATCCTAAATAACAGCCATGAGAATATTGCCTATCACCAAACGAGGACTAAAAATGCTAGAGTTTTTACCGAAAGGAACATATAAAATTTCCTTCTTATTAAGCTGTTTCCATCAAATTTCCCCTGGATTAAGATGCTTACAGCAGAATGCATCCCATCATCTGGGTGTTCTGGCTGTTTTGGTTTTTCTTAGTTTTTCCAGGAAAACTGCTTCCATAATTGTTGTTTATAGAAAAAGACTTTCATTTTTTTCAATTAACAAGGCTAATTTGACAATGAAAATAAATAAATAAATAAATAAATATGCCATCACAATTTTATTCTAGCATCTTCAAGGAAAGTTAAACTAAGTTCTATAAAGCCATACATATTGGGTAAGTTATCAATGTTTCAGAAATTGGAGGGATATTTTTTGCACCCCAAAGAGCTATAACTGGAATATTTTTCTAACATTTTCTGCATATCCCTTTCTAGTACTAAAAATAAAATTGTTTCAGATCTCCCTTACATTCAGATCCCCGACTCTAACTGCAGTATTCCTCTGCCGCCTACCTTTCCCCAAAGCATCCCCAAATCGTAAGAAATAAAATTTTCTGAGTGAGACAGAAAATCATTTTAAGCTTTCTCCCTTCTAAAATTCACTTTGTAAGGGTTATTTGGTCACTTTAGTTTGGATAAGGTAAATCTTGCTTGTAAATTTTTACTGACCAATATTGGTCATTCCTATTCTTGTTTCCTTTTAGTTTCCTACAGCTTGCTAATCTGAAGATCTCTCAGGTCTATTTCCTCCTGTACATCTCTGGGTAATGTAAGAGAGGACACAAGCCCAGAGTTGTGCTTTATACGTCATCAAGGTGCGCCTGTGTCCCGAATGGTAGGGGAGCCAGGGAATAATTTCGAGTCGCGAAGTTCAGAAGTGAAACTCTGTGGCTTTCTTGGCCCTTACAAAACCAGGTCACAGCTGCCTGGCTTTCTAATTTGGTTTGATGTACTGTGAATTCCCAAAGGGATGAGTCACTCTCTTATTCATATGTAAGTACAGGAACCATTCCAAAACAAAAATTGGTGTAGGTTTATTTGTGATTTTCAATGCCCTCTACCACCCCACTATACAGATGATCTAGCATCAACTAATTGCTCACCATATTGGAGAGGAATTATAGGGTGTCTTTCATCTTTTTTTAGGTAGTAACTTCATTACTGTGAATATTCACTGAGATGATACTCCCTGGATATTTCTTTTTCTGCTTGAGGAATGTTTCTCTGCCAATGAATGTCTATTATAAAACAATGAACATAAAATCAATCCCATACAAAGAAAATGAAAGTAGTAAAATTAATCACAAACTATCTTAAGAAACAGTCTATGTCAGGTCTTTGTAATAACATCATTGCACATTTCTCTTGTTACCTATTAAGCTCACAAGAACATCATAAATATCTTCCTTTATAAGATTTGATGAGGCAGAAAGACTTTCCCTGTTGGTCATCAAATTAAGATGCAGTATGATTTTACAATTTGTTCCATCTTAGAATTTGGCTGTGTTCTATCTCTCTGTGATTTCCCAGAGCCAACCACTTCAGGGTGTTTGGGTCTCTGCCAGCAACCATGGCACAGATGCTTTTAATAAAGGGAGGTAACCACCTTCTGGAAAATCTCCTTGCTTTATTAGAACTTTCAAGAGATATCAATCCTATTTTATTGGTGTTTTTTTTAAAGAAGAAAAATAAAAGAAATAAGGAGCCAACACCGTCTACGCAGTCTGCAATGTATCTTTTCTTTTGCTTCATGAAATAGAATACTGCGTTTCTCATGAGAAGGGTTCATGCATTTCACAACCATATGTTGAATGCCTATTCTGTGGCAAACTGCACTAGGCGCCAGAGCCACAAACAAGATGTGCACCCTGCCTGGAGGTGCCACACAAAGGCAGTGGAACTTTATAAAAACTGAATCAAAGGCCAAAATTAATCTGTGACGTATGTGGAGCTCTCTGTATAAACATCCTGCTTGGTAGGGGATTGGAAAGTACATGAGACGGATGTTAAGTAATTTTATGATATATGGAATAATATGTACTGGTAAAGTTTCACAATGGAAAAGTGACAGATCATTCTATAAATAGTATAGGGAAAACTGTCAATTTAGAAAAAAGAATATGTTATACTAACCTCAGGAAAAAACACCTGAAAAGTAGATTATGTAGTAGCTAATTTAGTTAGGAATATAGGAAATAGAAGAAAATGTATATATATAATGATCATAGAATAAGGGAGGAATTCTAGGTACAAAGGTCATGGATAAAAGAACAAATATCAAATCTGACAGTGTAGGAAAGTAAATTACACACAGAAATCTTATCAAATTAAAACACAAGGGGCAAACTTGATAAAATACCTGCAAAATAGACAGCAAATTCATATCCTTAATAATCAAAGAACTCTTGTGAATTATCTCATATGACTAACCAGACACTGAGGCAGTCACTTAAAAACTTTCCTAGAATCATCCAGTAATTATTGGAACAGACAAGATTCCTAGTCACATATAGTTTGCAGTTTTAAAGAGAGAGAAGTTAATCAATGATCTACCAAAAGAAATGCAAAATTATAGCAATGCTGTTATGGATTGGATCTAAAATGCTCCCCTAAAGTCTCATCTGTGTGGAAGGTGATTGGGTGCTGAGGACCCAATACTCCCTGGTGTTAGAAGGTGGAACCTGGCTGGAGGGAATCACAGGTGGCTGGGTGCATGACCGGGAGGGCATGTGTATCCTTGCCTCTGGCTCTTCCCTTCTCTATTTCCTGGCTGTGGTGAGTTGAACAGCTTTTCTCTGCCATGCTCTTTCACCACGTGTCTGCCTTGAAGCCAGTCAACTTTGAACTGAGTTCCTCTGGGAACTGTGAGCCCAGTAAACCTCTCCTCCTTTCAGTTGTGGATGTTGACTATTTTGTCTCAGTGACAGGAAAGTGGCTAAGACAAGTGGTAATAACTAGTAACTCAAGATCCATTCTGGAGGGACTGGAGAAAAGCCTGCTTCAAGGAACCATGGATGAGTTGACAATTCAAGCAATAGTACGAGTGAAGTAAAATGATAAAAGAGGAATAGAGGAATGTTCCAGGGGAAGGGAACAGCCTTGAAAAAACCTTCTGGTTGAGGGGAGCCCTGCAGTCTGTGGGGGACTGATGGAGGTACAGCAGAGAAAGAATGAAGAGAGGGCAAAGCAAGTAAACCCTCAGGGCTCTAACATGCTACAGAGAAGCCCTGTTTAGAGATCAGCAGTCTGAGAACCCAAGAGGCAAGGCAACTTGTCCAAAGTCACAGCAAGTACCTGGTGACAACCTGAAATCAAACTTAGATCTTTGGGCAGCAGAATCTCAGGAATTATTCTGCCATAATATGTTTGCTTAGAACAGTGGATTTCAAGCTTTTTGAATGGCAGAATGTCAGGCAAAATTTCCAACAAATAACAGGATCCGAATATTGGAGTAATATAAAGATAACTTTTAATGTCAAAGTACAATATTTACTTGTAAAGTCACTCCACAGGAAACACATGAAAATACAAGGAACATATAGTAAACACTTGTCATGCAGTAAAAGTGATTAGGTTAAATGGGTAGGTTGGTTTTTAACACAACAAAAAATAAAGGCTGTTCTAATCACACAAAAATTTGAAGTCTGGATGCTAACTGATATTTGTAGTGTTAGATCCAATTCAGCTTACAATGTTTCTCTGTAGTTTGGATTTCTTTCAGTTTCTGTAATACAAGGAAAATCCCATTTCATGTTATAAGTAGCTTGTGTAAATGGTAATATTTTAATAATCTGTATGACAATGTCAAGATATCATTTAATTAAATGGAACAAGTGGAAGGTCTAGTTTAAAAAATAAATCATTAAAACTTTTTAACAAATATTATGTCTTCTAAATGCTAAGAATTGAAGCTAAAAAGAGTCAGTACCAGGATCTTCAGATCACTTAGGTCTTCAGTGCTATCTTGCCGCACTGTGGGCTGTTTCAACGTCCCTACAAACCCCTCAGATTTCCAGGAAGGGATCTCTTACTCTGCCCCGGTTGCTTCCTTGCCTTTTCAGGTTAATTTATTCCATCAGTGACGCTTTATCTGCAGTGTTCAGCATGCCTATCATGCAGTCTTGCATTGCCATGCTGAGCTTGTTTGATTTGTGACAAAAAAAACAGTGAGGCATGCAAACCAGTGAAACCAGCTAACTCCGCTAGAGGAAATTGAACAGAAATGAATTTTCACCAGTGTCTTACCACAAACCCCCGCAAGGAACTTCAGTAGAAAAAAGTCGATTTTGTAACTAACAGTTTACATATTATTCAAATTACTAAAAACAAACAATAAAAACCCTCTGCAATTTAAAGACAATGATTTATTAACACTTTTAACTAGAATCATCTCACAGCATGGTCTTTAAATGCCTTCTCAGCAGTTTATGTTCTGACCCCCCACCTACATAGCTTTTTTGAAATAGCTTTTCTTCCCTGTTTTTATTTTTTGCTAGTACGCGTTTGCATTTTGTAATGATTACATTCCTTGTGAGGAGTTGGTACATGTGCATTTGCTCTTTAATTATATTTTGGGTTTCTCATATAAGAGAAGCCATGCAGTATTTTAAGTTTGTGTATCTGATTTATTTTACAACATTATGGTGCACCCATTTTCCTACAAATGACTCAACTTTTTCTTTATGGCATAGTAGTACTCCATTGTGTATTATATCATATTTCCTTTTATCCATTCATCTGAAACAGTGTTATGAAGAGCCGCACTATTTTTTATGCTGGCACTCATTTTGTACCACCCGTACAACTTTTTTTTCACTTTCTGACATTTTGTTTCATACTGTGTTAAAACTAGAGGGAACAAGAAATATCTTTTCTTCACCCCTCACTAGCTTTATAGCTGAGACCTTTGTAACAAAAGACAGATTAACATGAAAAAAGCATGCAAATATATATAATACAATTTTCCCCGGACACAGGAGACTTACTTAGGAGATGAAGACTGCAGGAATCAGGTCAAGCTGTGTGTTTGCTGTGGTAGATCTGAGGCAGCGTGGACCATGATGGAGAGCATAATCATACAACAGAAGGGTGTGATGTAATGGTCCTACACTGGGATACGTTAGCCAGGCTGGTTGGCCCGGATTCTTCCTCTGGTCTGTGTCTTTGGCTTCTTTCCTCTGGGTCTAGGGAGAGCACATGATGAATGAGATATTACAGCCTGCTTCCGGGAAAGGTCAGAAAACCCTTCCTACATTTCCTGACCTTCTTCAGCGAAGGTGAGAGGAAGGTCAGAGAGCCTTTGTTGCTTCTGCTATTTTCTTAAATGCCAAGAGGCTGTATTTTGGGTAGTGTGCACTGAACCTAATCAAAACTACCTTAGTCATTCCTACTGTGTGACAAATGATTAACATGTTTCCCTCATATTTTTCTGCACAAACCTACTGAACAAAGAAGGAAAATCAGCAGTAGTAACTTTCTCAAAACACTGACTTTGTAAAGATTATACATAAACTTAGTCTTTGAACTAATGTATCACTACTGCTGAATTCATGTTCTTAGATTTTTCTCTAGTTTATTACAACACGGCTCTAATTGTGTTTTCAATAACAGCCTACTCATCTGAAGTACTCATTAGCTTACAGTTTAATGAGCTTTTTCTGGAGAAAAATGTGTTTATTCCTCACAAACACTATAATACATTTTTATTGCTTCAGTTTTTCTTCCGTAGCATATATGCCAAATTAACCTGAGAGCCTTATTTCTATACTCACTACATTTTGTTTTAAAATAGCAAACTTGGCACAAAGTATAGAGCTACTGTGCAAAAATTCACACCTAAAGTTCTGTGAGGACTTCGGTGCTTTATATCACCCTAAAAAGTGAACTGTTGGCTGGTGTTGTGTTAAAATGCCCTAGGTTTGATCTCCAGCACTGCAAAACAAAAAAAAAAATGAATCCTCTAATAACACCTGATGCAAATTCTCAAATGGCTTTCTAGAAGATTCTTCTGCATGGTGCTTTCATTTTGCTCACTGTTAAATGTGGTAAACAATGGTGAAATAATACATTGGTACCAGTATATTGTCTTTGTTTCTCCTTTATGCTCTTTGCAACCCATTAACAAATTTTCTTTTCAAGTATCTGATTTCAAAAAGTGACTTATTTCTAATTTAAGAGGTCTGTCACAGATAATTTTTAAACAGTAATAGCTCTATGTTTAGTCATAGATAATAATGTCCCAAAACATAGCAGTGTGTGCTATTCAGCAAAAGAATTTAATCTTGATAGTTCTGCTGGTGAGAGGTGTTGTCTTTTTTTTTTTTTTTTTTTTTTGCTATAATAAATCTTAACCTCAAATTACCAACAGATAATGTGTCTGTATGTACATGATAAGCCAAGACCCAAGCCTAAACCTCTCTTCCTGCACAGGTTATTGCTCTTTTCCAATGATACTTTTTGGTGCTAATTAGCCTTAGTAAACATCCAACGTACTGACTTACATTACTCTAAGTTCCAACATCTTTGCTTTCCAGCAGAACAAAAACTCTAGTACTAAACTAGTGTAAGGGATTTCACTGGTTATCTGTTGTATCGAATCTAGATATTCTCATACTGTGGGCACTTAACGTTATATTAATTACTCTTAAATTGTGAAGTAGACTTCATGGATATTCCTTTATGTTTACATCATATGTCTTCCTATCCCCGTTCCTTTCATTTTCTCAACAAACACTTTTTACTTATTCTGTAGAAGACACTTTTGTAAGACACTAAAAAGTAACTGAATTTAAATTGCAGTGCTTCCCTGGCCTTTCTTCAGCTGTTCCTCTACAGTCAACAGTTCCAGTCACAGAAAGCATTTCTTAAATAAATTGTGTGTTTACTGAACATGTGCAGATTTTGCAATATAATGACTATTTTCATAGTATTTACATTGTATTATGTACTATAAGTAGTCTAGAGAATTTAAAGTATGTGGGAGACTGTACACTGGTTATATTATGAAATGCTACACCATTCTACATAAGGGACTTGAGCATCTGTAGATTTTCGTACCCAGAAGGATCCTAGAATCCACCCTCCATGGATGTTGGAGGGATGACTGTATGTTATAGTTTGGGTCTAAAATGTCCCTCCAAAATCTCACTTGTCCAGAGGTGGGGTTTTAAAAGGTAATCTGATGCTACACCCATCAGTGGATCGATCCACTGATGAGTTCATAGCTAAATGGGTGTCTTGGTTACTTTTCTCTTGTTGCTGAGACAAAATACCTGACACCCAGAATTACTGAAGGAAAGGTTTATTTAGCTCACAGTTTGTGGAGGTTTCAGTCCGTAATGGACTGGCTCCAAGGCAGAGTGGCACATGGCAGAGGGCAACAGTTCAAGGCTGTGGAAAACAGCAAAAGCAACAAGAGCAAAAGGGAAGAGTGAGAGAGCAAGCCTCTTTCTCTCCCTTATATTGTATGCAAAACACTCGTCCCAAGGCATGTGGAATGCTCACCTATAATCCCAGCATTGGGCCAAGAATCACTCAAAATCTCTAGAAGCCCACCCCATGACTGCATGAGGCTTTTAGGGGAACATCTAGACACAAAACATAACACTGTGTTATTAGTTTAGGAGATATAGTCTGGGTTAGAAGTGTGTCACTGGGGATATGACTTTGCATGGTATGTCTCCCTCCTGGGTTCTTTCCTTCTCTTTCCATTCAGCCTTGGAGCCAACCAACTACAGGCTGAATCTTCTGAAAGCCACGAGCTAGGACAAACCTTTAAGTTTTGGATATCAGGCATTTTATCCTGGCAACAGGAAAGTGACTTGTACACTGCACCAAGAAATTACATCAATATGATTGGTGCTTCAATAGATGGATACTCTGGGTACTATGAGGTGTTCTTAAGTATGCTTTTGGCAGAAACTTAGAGGTTTAAGAAGCCCTCCAGGAAGACCAGATGGTGTCACAACTGTAACCTGAAGAACACTAAGAAGAAACTCCTCAGTTGTCAGTGAGAGGTGAGGCAGAAGAGTGAGCACTGGAATGTAGCTCAGTAAACTCAAAGCTGTGAGACTGGGGAACAAGAGCCAGAGCTGAGGAACCGGAGCTGAGAATTCTAGGTTAGTGTGAGAGGAAAGGGTAGCCACTGAAGGCTTTCTAGCCCAGAAGTGGGAGCTCACTCTGGCTGCTACGTGACAATTAGAACAGGGTGGAGGAGTGGTAGGAATGCAGCATCCATGAGACAGCTGTGCAGAATCTGCAGCACAGGCTGAGAGTGCTATGGGACTGAGGTACCAGCAGGGACATAGGGAAAACTAAATGGTCTTTTAAAATAAAAGCAAAGGAACTTGAAAATGCATTGAATTATTTCAAAACTGAAGAGAGAGGTGAGAGGTAGCAAGAAAAAAGAAACAATCAAGTGAGATAGTCAGGATTTGGGCTGCATAACTAAATTAGAAAAACAAAGCATTAAAATGTTATAGAAATTATTTTCAAGCTATTCATCTTCAGATATGTTAAGGATATGTGCATGACCATGGCTATAAATACACATTTACTTCATTTTTCACCATAATAAATTTCTAAGGCTTCTTAAAGTTACATGTGTAATTGGAAGTTTGCATAATATTTCATTTTTAAGGTTATCATTTGCCAAAGCCCTTTGACATTATTATTCTGATCATGAAAGTAATTTCCTTGTGAGGAGGCATCCTTGCCAAGACACCTAACCACATACTTGAAACATCAACTGTTATTAGGCTAATATTTCATCTTCCTTAAAGAGGGCCTTACATTAAAGGTTTTGCATGTTAAAGATTGGAAAAGATACTCACTTTCTTTCTCAGTAAGTAAAAGCTACAGGCAAGTCTAATATTATAAAATAAAAAAGACTGTTTCAAGTAAAGAACACATATGTTAAATGGGCAGTTATTTTAAAGATACTCAGAGCCAGATCTTGATTTTAGAACTTTATTTTGAATAAGTTCCATAATTTTGCTCCTCTTTCCATGAATTTTAACTAAATGCCCTGTTTCTTTTTGAAATCCTTTGATCATCTGATACGGATAACAGCACAGGCAGTATTGATGGCCTGTTTACATAAATAACATTGAGAATGCTACCCAATAGCAAGTTCATTTGTTCTGCAAGAAGAAGAAAAAGAAAAGAATTACTCTTGGGATTTAAATGAAGAAATGTTTCACTAGCAAAGGGTTTCAAAAGAATATTGGTATCAAAGTGAAGGTATAATGGTGACCAGCCAAGAGAACAACTGAATAGCACTTTCTTATTTCAAGGGTTTAATATTTTCATTTTCAATAAAAAATAACGGTGATTAAAATTTTTTTCCTGGAATAATAAGATATATTAAGGGAAGTATTACAAGAGAATATCTCCTGTGTTACTAGGAAATTTCAATGTGAGCACAGTTTCACAATGATTTCAGTACCATGTACCATTTTTTATCACATTTTAAGGTTTTAATTTAAGAATTTGGGCTAGGTTTAATCAACTGTGCAATAAACATATGTGTAGATATGTGTGTATGAGGTGTGTGTGGTGAGAGAAATATACATCACAAAGAAAAACCTGTCTTAATCTCACAATCTCTAGAGAACAACAGGGTGGTAATAAGATTTTAAAAACAGATGCTTGTTAAATATTTTCCATTATAATACACTGAAATAGAGGTACATCCACTAGTATATGCTTATTATAGAAGCATGATGTGCTATGTACAGAAATTAAACCTGGCTTGAAGTTTTAAGGACCTAATAGTCCAATAAACAAAAAAGAATAAAGTAGAAAGTTACTAAAAGACTTATAGAAACTGCAGGGAGAAAAAAGGTTAGTTGAGGCCTAAGAAAAGAAAAGCCAGAAAGCTTTATGAAGGATCACTGTTTCAGTGGGGGCTTGTATAATAGGGATAATTTTAACATGTAGAGAAAAGGAGCTAGACATTGAAGTTTGTTTTTTTTTAAATAGAGATAAATGCATAGATCTATGCATGCATGCAACCATAGTTTTGAGTCAGGAACTTTTCTGACAATATCTAAGCCTCAGGACAACCCTGTGAGGCAGACAGGTTTTATCAGTATCAGATATGAAAAAGCAAGGTTTCTGGTGTCACCAGGCTGGTCAGTGTCACACGCAAGCTGCTGGACTCCAAAGCCCAAGCTGTCTGAGTATTTCTACTTAATGTTTCTTAATGATCTGAGCCACAAATTTGCTGGACAAATAAAGGAAAGAGCAAAGGATTATTTTTGCTGAAAGGCAAAGTGCTACAGTGACCCAAATGGAAGGAAGGTTTTTCTTTGTTTATTTCCCCAATGAAGGTAG